GCCATCCTCCACTGCTTTCCCAGCCCACAGCAGAGAGCTGGTATCAGAAGTGGAGCAGCCAGTTCTCAAACTGGCACCCATATGGGATGTCAGTGCTTCAGGCTAGGGCGATAACCTGCTAAGCCACAGCTTATCCTATATGCCTGCCTATGACACCAACACACACCCAATCCTGTGTATTGAGCCCTGCAGTGTAGGTTGACCAGCACAAATATAGTCCCTGAAATCAGTATTCAGGTGAACTTTAGAAACACATGCCTCCCAATTATCACCTACAAGGAAAAGCCAGAACTTGGGGGAACTCCTGGCAGCTCTATGACCTGGCTCCCACTCCTGTTCAGCTTGGCCTTGGAGAATCACCACTGGCCAACTGTGAGCTCCCACCAGGCTTGTACATGTCTGAGAACTGAAAAACTCTGTCCTGCCAGCCTGACACCTGTTTCAAGTGCTACAGGAAGAGTTCCCAGTGATGCTGGAAGAAAATGCTTTGACCACAATCAAGTTATCAGCATGGCAATTTGATAAAGGTCATCGGTTTAAAAAAATAAACAAAGTGTGGTAACAAATGAACTTGAGATTCTGGTGCTCTACAGAGTGGACTTGTGTTTCCTAAATGTCTTTTCTCTGGACTTTTTATTATTATTATTTCCCAGAAGTTTGGAATTTTTCACTTTTGGGATCAATGACTTATATATTCATTTCCCCATTGTTTCTGTGATGTCAACAGTTTAACTTAAAGTCCAAACCTATGTTCAGTTCGTGGTTTACCTGTTCAAAATGTAGCATTTTCAGGGCCAGAGTTGGGTGCAGTGGGTTAGGCTGCTGCTGTCTGCAATGCCAGCATCCCACATGGACATCAATTTGATTCCTGGCTGCTCCACTTCTGATTCAGCTCCCTATTAATGTGCCTGGAAAAGCAGTGCAAGAAGGCCCAAGGCTTTGGGCCTCTGCACCCACTTAGGATACTAGAAGAAGCTCCTGGCTTCAGCCTGACTCAGCTCTGGCCATTGTGCCCATTTGGGGCATGCACTGGTAATGAAAGATGTCGACCTCCATATCTCTCCCTTCCCCCTGCTTCGTCTCTGTAACTCTGCCTTCAAATAAATAAATAATCTTATTATTATTTGAAAGGTAGACTTACATAGAGAGAGGGAAAGACAGATCTTCCATCTGCTGGTTTACTCCTAAAAGGCTGCAACAGCCAAGCCTGGGCCAGGCAGAAGCCAGGAGCTTCATCCAGGTATCCCATGTGGTGCAGGTGAAGTAACACCTTGACAGTAGGGATTCCATTTTGGGGAACCTGAGACTCCATTCTGGGAAGGTGCCCCCCCACACACACACACCGTGAGGCTCTGCTCTGAAACTATGGTCTAAAACAGTTGAACATAGCAGTCCACTACATCACACTAGGCAGAGCATAGAACCCCCTAGCATGATCGCTCAAGCTTGGAAGTGGATAGGCTGCACCTGGGTTAATGATAAAAATGTAATTTGTCTATGCCCTACATATGATTAAAAATGAATACCTGGATTAATGTCAAGATTATAATTGAAATTGTTAAGATTGCAACTGGCATTGTCAAGATTATAATTGATACTCGTTTCGCATCGTTTTAGGTCAGCTTGACCCCCATAACCATGTATTCCCCCCGATCCTAGCAACCATGTATTCCCATCCCAATTTTGCAGTTTTTGCCTTTATAAACCCTGTTGCTTTGGGCTTCAGGGTCGAGAGTTCTTTTGGGCATGAGCCCACTCTCCACCGCCGGCAATAAAGGACCATCAAATTTTATCAATGTGTGGTGCTCCTTTGATTTACACTCACTCAGGTACAACACAGGGGCCCAAGCAACTGGATCACCCTCTGCTGCTTTCCCAGGCACATTAGCAGGGAGCTGGATCAGAAGCGGAGTTCCAGCCGTTGTGGCTATCTGGGGAGAGGACCAGCGGATGGAAGACCTCTCTTTCTCTCCCTCTCTGCCTCTGCCTCTCTGCCTTTCAAATAAATAAATACATCTTTAACAATAAGTGGCACCACTGGGAAACAAATGGATGCCCATATGGGATGCTAGTATCGCAAGCAGCAGCTTAACCTAGTGAACAACACTGGCCCTAATAAATCTTTTTTTCTTTTAATGTAGCATTTTTTTTCCATGACCTGACATGTTAAAGCCACAGCCCATCAGTTTGGTGAATCCGGTAAACTGTAAACTGGTGATTCATCAAACTGACTTCCAGCACACTGAGTTTTCCTAATGATTTTCTGTCAAATGCCCACTTAATGAGATTGCAGTTTCTTTATCTTTTTCTCTTTCTTTTCTTTTCTTTCTTTTTTTTTTTTTTTTTTTTTGACAAGCAGAGTTAGACAGTGAGAGAGGGACACAGAGAAAGGTCTTCCTTCCGTTGGTTCACCCTACAAAGGCCACTACAGCCAGAGCACTGCGCCGATCCAAAGCCAGGAGCCAGGCGCTTCTCCTGGCCATCCTCCACTCTCTACTCGGGCCACAGCAGAGAGCTGGACTGGAAGAGGAGCAACTGGGACAGAATCCGGCGCTCCAACTGGACTAGAACCTGGAGTACCAGCGCCACAGGCAGAGGATTAGCCTAGTGAGCCGTGGCGCCAGCAATGAATGTGCATTTTCCCAAACCCAACTTTAGCTACCTGCTTGACCCTTTCTCAGACATCTCAATGCTTAATCCACTAGACTGCAACAATAGTAAGAACAACAGCCAACATTACTTTTTTACTCTGTGCCGCCTCTCACCTAACCATGAAGCAGTTATGAACGAATGTCCTCCATACCCAATTCCTGCAGGAAACCTACTGAGCATCATCATCATCAGTCATCACAATGATTTGAGCTTTACACCCTTGGGCAAGAAACCGCCCTGGTCCCACCCACATCTCAATACCACCTCCTGGGGCCAGCGCTGTAGCACAGTAGGCTAAGGACCTGGCCTGGAGTGCAGTATCCCATATGGGCGCCAGTTTCAGAACTGGCTACTCCACTTCCGATCCAGCTCTCTACTATGGCCTTGGAAGGCAGTGGAGGATGGAGCGAGTCCTTGGGTCCCTGGACCCGATGAGACTGGGGGTGGGGTGTTGGGGGAGATTCTGGCTCCTGGCTTCAGATCAGCACAGCTATGGCCATTGTGGCCAATTAGGGAGTGAAACCGGCAATGGAAGCTCGCTCGCTCTCTCTCTCTCTCTCTCTCTCTCTCTTTCTGCCTCTCCTCTCTCTGTGTAACTCTAACTTTCAAATAAATAAATAAATAAAAATTGATCACATTTGTGAGCTGGAAGATCAGGCCTCCACCCCACCCCGAGTGACCTCATGCCCCTATCTGACCACACCTCTGTGCTCACCTGCCAGTCACGGTAATTAACCTCTTGTCTGGAAAGGCAGGGACAGCCCTGCATTGAGTGGAATATGGAATCAGAAGAGTTTTGATCTGCGGACAATTTCACAGTTTCTTCTAGCAACAAAATTTAATTTCACATTGTTTCTTCTAGCAACCAAAAACTACCCTAATTCTCCTGATGCACGATGCTTTCTTCATGTTGTTCTCCCCATCCGATGACACTGGGAGAGTGTCGGGTGTTTGCTGTGACTCAGCACATGCCCATCCTGCTCTGCAGACATCTCATCACACTCCTCTGGCGCTACTGCACAGCCCTCTACTGCTGCACTACGTGTGAATTTACATGTGGGAGAGGAGAGTTCGAGTCCTGGCTGCTCTGCTTCCAACCCAGCTTCCTGCTAATGTGCCTGGGAGGCAGCAGATGGTCCAAGTACTTGGGTTCCTCTTCTCCACACGGGAAACTCAGATGGAGTCTTCCTGACTGTGGCTTCAGCCTGGTGCTGGCCCCATCCCAGCTGTTGTGAGCATTTGGGGAATGCACCAGAACATGGAGTGGTTGTCTCTGTCTCTCTCTCTCCTGCCTCCCATCTCTGTCACTCTGCCTATGGTAACTAAGAGTACCTAAAAGGTAATCTATAGAAGTGAAATTGACACTCAGATGCAATGATGGTTTACAGCCCTTGTCTCTACAGTTTGTTGAACTCTTTACTTAGTGTAGGGATAATGAGTATAAAGTAAACTGAAAATAAATCTTTGTAAAAATTAAGATTCGATGGCTGGTGGCGCAGCTCACTAGACTAATCCTCCAGCTTGTGCGCCGGCACACTGGGTGCTAGTACCGGTCAGGGCACCGGATTCTGTCCCAGTTGCCCCTCTTCCAGGCCAGCTCTCTGCTGTGGCCAGGGAGTGCAGTGGAAGATGGCCCAAGTGCTTGGGCCCTGCACCCCATGGGAGACCAGGAGAAGTACCTGGCTCCTGCCATCGGATCAGCGCGGTGTGCCACCTATGGCGGCCATTGGAGGGTGAACCAACGGTAAAAGAAGACCTTTCTCTCTTTCTCTCTGTCCACTCTGCCTGTCAAAAAAAAAAAAAAAATTAAGATTGGGACTAGGAGAGGGAGGAGGAAGAAGGATGGGAGCGTGGGTGGGAAGGATCACCATGCTCCTAAATCTGTATATATGAAATACATGAAATTTGTATACCTTACATAAAATTAAACTCGTTCCTGGAGGCCAGCCTTACCCTGATACTCAAGCCAGACAAGAACACAACAACAAAAAACTACAGACAAATATCTCTGATGAACATAGATGGAAAATTTTTAATATACTGACAAATCAAATTTGACAGCAATCAAAAACATCCGTCATGGTCAAGTGGTCATAGTTCAGGGATGCCTATAATATGTGGATGCCAGGGCCACAGGTGGTGGCCTATTCCACTGCACCCAGCGCCGGCCCCTATTTATCTTTCTTTAAAAAACATGTATGTATTGGAAAGACAGCGTTACAGAGAGCGACGCTTGGAAAGGGTGTCCCCTACAGATAATGACCAGGCCAAGACAGGGCTGGTCGGGCCACCCCCTTGCTTGGCAAGCCCGGGGCCCTCCTCCCTCCTCGCGGGTTGGGCGGAGCAGCCGCCCAGGCCCGCCCCTGCTGGCCCTACATCCACTGCACTGGGAGCAGAGCCGGCCGCGCACCCCAGTAAGGAGCTGCGGCGATGGCGATGGCGATGGCGATGGCGGCAGGCAACGCGGCCTACTTTCAGAGGGGCAGTGTGTTCTGGTTGGCGGTCATCACGCTCTCCTTTGGCTACTACACGGTAGGGGCAACCGAGTTGGGACAACCGCCTGGAGCGAGCGCTCCTGGCACCCAGGCCTCCGCCTCCTTTGGAGGAGAGGCCGCGCAGGCGCAGTTCCAGCTCTCTCGCCTCCCAGCGGGGAGGGAAGACAGAACCCGGAAGGAGGCGCAGGCGCAGTGGGCTGCCAAGGCTTTTGGCAGGTGTTGGAGGCCCTGCGAAACCGGTTGGCCTACTTTCCTCAGGTGGGGGCGGGCACACTCCCCACCTGAGGACTGAGCGCCTGGGTCTTTCACGATGGTGCTGGCGAACTCGAAGGACGCAAAGGATGCTACCGCCTACTTCCGGACGGCCAGCCCGTTGCCCTCGCTGGTCACGGGGCTGGGGCTGGGATACTTTGCGGTGAGGCGCGGGGCGCGGACGCGGGCGCCTGTGTTTTGGCCCTCCGGGATGTCCTAGCGCGAGGGGCGCCGTGGGAACGGCGTCGGTGCGCATGCGCGCCGTGCGGTTGCCTAGGTTACGAACGCCAGCGGAAGCTAAGCCGGGTTTTAGAAGGTTTAGAGTGTTTGAAGCAGGGGGAGTTGCTTGGAAAACGGCGGATAAAGCCAAGGGATGGCTAGGATTTCACTGGTGAGCAAGAACCGGTGTGACAGCAGGAGGACAGCTCTACTGCGGGGAGGAGTGACTTTCGTCTCACTTCCAGGATAACGAACGGGAAAGACGCCCGGAAACCGGTTGGGGAAAACCGGTATCATGTAGGAGGAAGGCGAAGCTATTTTGGATCTTTCCCGGGAGATCCTGGAACCTGGACGGGTGTCATTTCCACAGCGGCGTCGCTCTGACCACCTCCGCCCTCCTTTCGCCGTGTGCAGGATGGAGGCGTGGGACTCTAGTTTTCCCGAGTGCCCTTTCTGTGCCAGGATCCCGCGACCCTGTTCGAACACACAAGCTGGGAAACTGAAGATTCGAGTTGGAATTTAGTGGAACTGGCAGATGCCAGCCCCTCTCCACCGCGCGGTTAGGAGGCCGCAGTGATATGTTATACTTTATTGGAATATTGGCTTTAAACAGCATCCTGGGAGAAGTAGTGTTGCCTTTGGTGCAGATCTAAGTGGAGCACTAAACTTTGGAGGGGTTGACAGTGATTCACAGAAAGGCTTGTAACAGAGCCTGAGGAGGAGTTGGTAAGGTCACCACAAAAACCTTACATGAACGAGGAGTTGCTGTTAATCCTTCGCGAGTCTGATTTTCCGAGTGTGTCTGCGTGGTGTGCAAGAGTGGAAGAGCATGATTCTAACTGCGAGATTGAGCCCAAGCCACCATTTGCAGGACAGAAGCTGGCCAAAGCACGCAGACTCCTACAAGTCTAGGAAATAATGTTTGGGGTGGAATTCATGAAAAATCGGATCCGCTCCGCCAGTGCACGGAGCCTGATCATCACCTCGTTTTTTTGTGGCACACATCCATTGGAGCTGCTTTTTAGAAATACAGGAGGGAGATTCAGGTGCCCTCCTTCAGACCCTGTTTCCCCAGTAGTTACTTTGGTAGAATCAGTGTTCTTTCCTACCTGCCGGTCTTCAGGTGCCCTAATGGTTTCTCTGTGCCTCTGGTTCTCTTTCAGTGGGTTGTCCTCTGGCCGCAGAGCATCCCTTATGAGAGCCTTGGGCTCCTGGGCTCGTTCACTCAGTACCTGGTGGACCATCATCACACCCTCCTGCACAACGGGTAAGGAGAGCTGCAGAAACGACACGCTGGTCTCGCTGGAGACCTTGAAGGCCTGCAGTTGCCTTTAGGTAGTGAAGAATGGCGCTAGTTCACGTTTAGGAATCTTTCCAGATTTCTGTTAGATTTTATCATCAGACAATCCCCCCCTTAAACTAGACTGACTTGTAGAAATAGGTTTGGGGCCGGCATTAGCAGGTAAAGCCGCCACCTGCAGTGTCGGCATCCCTTATGGTTGCCGGTTCGAGTCCCGGCTGCTGTACTTCCAATCCAGCTCTCTTCTATGGCCTGGGAAAGCAGCAGAAGATGGCCAAGTGCTTGGGCCCCTACACCCATGTGGGGGACCTGGAAGAAGCTCCTGGCTCCTGGCTTGTGATTGGCCCAGTTTCAGCTATTGTAGGTATCTGGAGAGTGAACCAGCACATGGAAGGCTTCTACCTCGCTCTTTCTCTCTCAGCCTCTGCCTCTCTGTAACCCTGCCTTTCAAATAAATAAATAAATCCTTATGAAAATTTTCTTTTTCTTTGATACAGAGAAATTTTCCATACACTGATTTCGCTCCCCCTGATGCCCACAACAGCCAGAGTTGGACTAGGCCAAAGGCAGAGCCAGAAACTCCATTCAGGTCTCCCACGTGATGGCAAGAATCCAAGTACTTGAGCCATCACCTGCTGTCTGTCAGGGTGTGCATTGGCCAGAAGCTGAATCAGAAACAGAGTTACCGAGACTCGAATCATACACCTGAATGTAGGATGCTGGTGTGCCAAGGGCAACTTAACCTCTTTGTTGTTGTTGTTTCAGGTATTGGTTTGCCTGGATGATTCACGTGGCAGAGTCCTTGTATGCCATGGTGCTGTGCAAGTAAGTCATTATTTAGGTCCTGGTCACCTTTCTCGTGGTATCTGGTAGAAGCTGAGCCACCACATTTAAATAATTCATGCACGCCTAGGCTGAGAGCACTCTGAGGTAGTGTGGAGTACCCATGCCTGATGCTGGGTTTGACGCAGGAATACTCAGTAAATGTTCGGTGAGTGAGTCCATTTAGTTTGTGGTAGTTATTATTTACTCCGTTAGTGCATTAGGCTGACTGTTATTTTTTTTTTTTAACTTTTTTTAATTGTCTGTACAGCAGCACCTAGAACAAAAGATTAGGAGTCTGCCTCCTAGTGTGCGAAAGAGCTGAGTTACTTTCCTAGGCCGGTAATCTCCTATCTTGATGCCACAGTGAACCACCTGAGGAGCTGTTTCACTGTACATGTCTGGTTTCCACCAGAAAAATTGATCTGGCAGGTCTTGCTTCAGACCTACAAGTCTGTTCTTTCTGGAAGGTCTGCAGGTAATTCTGGAGCTAAATGCAAGTTAAAAGCCCCCAAACAGACCCTACTCAGCAGATGCTACTGTAGGTGACTACTATGTGAGAGTACTGAAAAAGATTCTTTGTACTTTTGGACAATTTGTTCTCCCCTCCGGGACCGTCTGCTAGTGGGGTCCTCAGGGAAGTCCTGTTCCTTTGCTCTCCCACTGGGCAGGCTGAACCCATCTCTGTGCTTTGGAGTGACACAGTCGCCCTTTGCCAGAGTGCAAGGGGATTTCCAGGTGGCTTTGTTGAAACTGTTCTCTGGGCTTGAGACTGTGGTAGGAAATGCCCAAGCGTTCTGAGACTCCTTCCCAGTGGCCTCTTGGGCCTCCCTGAGGTCTTAGCTGAGGACATGTGTTTGGCCCAGCCCCACAGCTTGACAGCTCTAGTGACTGGCATTTGGAGCCTCTAATGAAAACCAAAAGACTGTGTTGTGTTGTACACTTCTTTGAAGGGAGAAGGAGAACAAGCCCAGGGAGGTTGCGTCTCTCTTACTGTGTTCCTAAAACCGGTCCTTTAAGGATCTAACGTGTTAGAATGTGCCATAGCTCACTATAAATCAGAATTAATACTCCTTTTGATTTGTGAGATCAATGAAAGAGTAAATAAATTTGAATGCAAGAATACATGAAGACATGGTATAACTTTGGAGCTTCCCAAATCCTACTGCCCAGGAATAACTACTTGTAATATTTTGTTGAGTTCCCTTTTGTTTTAATCCATACCTGTTAACTTTTAATCCAGTCATCATCCTGTAGGAAAGAGTACTTTGAGCTGTATGTAGATACAGAAATGACCTTGGAGGTGGCAGGAAACTAACATTTACTAAGCACCCTCCATGTGCCAGTCCCTAAGCAGAAGCTCAAGGACACAATCAGGCTATAATATAGTCTCTTAAATCCCATGTTTTAAAAATACATACCTTTCTGAATTTCTTTTAACCAGAGATAAGATTGGACTATATGTTTGACTTTATATCTGCAATAATCATACACTTAAGCACTTTGCCATGTTTTTATTTTTTTTGTATTTCATTTTAAAGATTTATTGTATTTATATGAAAGATTTGCACAGAGAGAGAAGCAGACACAGAGAGAGAGGGGGGGGTTTTCCATCCTCTGGTTCACTCCCCAGTTGGCTGCAATGGCCAGTACTGCACTGATCCAAAAAAAGGAACCAGGAGCTTCTTCCGGGTCTCCCATGCGGGTGCGGGCCCAAGCACTTGGGCCATCTTCTACTGCTTTCCCAGCCATAGCAGAGACCTGGATGGGAAGTGGAGCAGCAGGGACACAGCACCGGCCCCGCCATGTTTTTTTTTTTTTTTTTTTCCCCTGCCATGTTTTTAAAATAACCTTGAAGGCAGGCACTTGGCCCTGCAGTGAAGATGCTACTTGAGGGACGACACTGTGGTGTAGCAGGTAAAGCCTCCGAGACCTGCAATGCCGGCGTCTCATATGGGTGCTGGTTGGAGTCCTGGCTCCTCCACTTCCCATCCAGCTCTCTGCTCGGGCCTGGGAAAGCAGTGGAAGATGGCCCAAGTCCTTGGGCCCTTGCAGCTGTGAGGGAGACCCGGAGGAAGCTCCTGGCTCCTGGCTTCGGATCGGTGCAGCTCCGGCCGTTGCAGCCAATTGAGGAGTGATCCATCGGATGGAAGACCTCTCTGCCTCTCCTCTCTCTGTGTAACTCTGACTTTCAAATAAATACTTTTTTTAAAAAATGATGCTACATGGGACAGCCCCATCCTATATCAAAGTGCCAGGAATCAGATCCTGGCTCTGGTCTTAATTCCAATTTCCTGCTGATGCACACCCTCGGAGGCCTCAGATGATGCCTCAAGCCCATGGGTCCCTACCACTCATGTGACAGACCCAGATACTGACCGAGTTCTCAGCTCCTGGCTTCAGCCTGCTCCAGTCCTGGCTGTTGGTGGCATTTGAGAGTGATCCAGCAGGTAGGAAATCAGTTTCTTTCTCTCTCTCCCTCTCAGCCTTTCTGCCTTTATTTCAAATAAAATAATTTTTTATAAAGTTTGGTGAATAGTTTTAAATTTTGGAAACTATTCCTCTAGTTGTATATTCCAGAATTCATTTAGCTAAACTAGCAGTGAATATTTAACTTTAAAAAACATTTTTCTTTTGTTAATGATTGTTTAGTTTTATTTGAGAGAGAGAACTCCACTCCACTCACTCATGCTCCAGATATCTCCAGTAGCTGGAGCTGGGCCAGGGCCAAAGTTAGGCTCCAGGAAAGCAATCCAGGTCTGCCTTTGCAATCCAGGTCTCCCACAAGGCAGGGACCCTACTGCTTGAGCAATCAGCACTGTGATGTGGGAGGCAGATTTTTTATCACTGGGCTAAATGTCTACTCCCTGGGTCTTAGGTCTTTAATCTACCTGGAACTGACTTTTTGTGAGAGACAAGTATTCAACTTTATCTTAATATTTCTATATGGATGCCCTGTTTTCCCCAAGCCACTTCTTGAGACTTTCACTCTTCATTAATGTGCTGTAGCTTATAGCCACATATATGTCTGTGTTTCTGAACTCACTGTTCTTTTCTGTTGGTTTGCTTCTTTGTCCTTGGGCCAGCATAACATTATCTTACAGTAGTAGCTTTGTAATCACTGACACCTGATGGAGCACGTCCTCTCACCTTGTTCAGAGTTACCTGTTCCTGGGCCTTTGCACAGCCTTATGCATTGTCATGTGCTTCAAAGATGAAAAATTTATCTGTTGGCATTTTTATTAGATTGACCATATGAATTAATTTGTAGCAGAATGGCATATTTCCGTTATTAAGTCTTCTAAACCAGGAAAAATGATTTGTCTCCATTTCCTTAGAGTTTTGTGATGTTTTTCCTATTCTTTATTTGGTTAATATCCAGCTTCCTGTACTTTCAGATGTTGTTATAAGTGACTTTTCCTTCATTTTATCATTGTTTGATGGTAGCATATATGCATATAGTCAGTTTTATATATTGACCTTATACGTAGCAACCTTAAAATTCATTTATTAATTCTAATAGTTCATCTATAGATTATTTTCAGTTTTCTAGTCATCATTCAAGTGTCTCTAGAAACAGTTTTATTTTTTCTTCTCAGTTCAGTCCCTTTGCTTTGTGTTTCTTCCCTGTTGTACTAACTCATACTTCCAGTGCATGTTGCCTAGAAGTGGACATGAATGCCTGGTTCCTGATCGCCAAGCTGTCAGTGTCCTTGCATCATGTTTATTCTAGAGTTTTATAGATCTCCTCTGTCAAAATGAGGATGTTCGACTGTATATCTAAGTCTGCTAAGAACTTTGAAGAATGGATGTTGAAACTTATCAGATATTTTTGCATTTTTTTGGATTTATTAGTTTATTTGAAAGTCAGAGTTACACAGAAAGAGAAAGAGAGGCAGAGAGAGAGAGAGAGTCTTCCATCCGCTGATTCACTCCCCAGTTGGCCACAACAGCTGGAGCTGGGCCTATCCAAAGCCAGGACAGGAACTTCTTCTGGGTCTCCCACATGGGTAAAGAGGTCCAAGGAGTTGGGCCATCTTCTACTGCTTTCCCAGGCCACAGCAGAGAGCTGGATCTGAAGTGGAGCAGTCGGGACTCAAACCTGTGCCCGTATGGGAAAGCAGCTCTGCAGGCAGCGGCTTTACCCACTATGCCACAGCACTGACCCCTATTTTTTGCATTATTAAAATGTATAATCTTTCTCCTTTCATTTATTGATAGAAAAAAAACCATTTGTATATATGCATATAGAGTTTGCTTTGAATAAAAGGTTTATGCAAGTGAGACTTAATTCCATACACATGAGCCTGCAGCAAGCCATTCACTTAAGCTGAATCATTTTCTGTTGAGCTTTCAGACAGTTGAATGACTGTATAGTAACACTATGTTCCAGTTTCTTTCCTAAGCACTTTGTGTATATATCTCATAAACCAAGTGGGACAGATACTACTACTATGACTGTTTTTCACATGAGAATACTGTTTCTGAGAGCTACTAGTGATGTGCCCAGGACACAGCTGGCGGTGGCCATGCTGGGATTCACATCTGGTACAAATCTTCACATCTTCAGACACTTGCTCTGAAGCCATACCAGTGCCCATCTCCTTTCCAGTCATCTCATGAGAAACCGTGTTATAATGCTCTACCCTGCTCTACCTGGACAGTAGCCAGACTAGTTCCAAGGAATAGTGTACCATCCTAAATACATTTATTAGGAAGCAAGGAAGAGAAAAAATAAATTGCCCCTTTAAGTTAAAAAACCAGGGTGGGGAGGTGGTAGACAGATGGAAGTATAGAAAAAGTATAAAAATTAAAAAAGAATAAGGCCAGCGCCGCAGCACACTGGGCTAATCCTCTGCCTGCGGTGCCGGTGCCCCAGATTCTGGCCCCAGTCTGAGCGCCGGTTCAGTCCTGGTTGCTCCTCTTCCAGGCCAGCTCTCTGCTGTGGCCCGGGAGTGCAGTGGAGGATGGCCCAAGTGCTTGGGCCCTGCGCCCACATGGGAGACCGGGAGAAGCACCTGTCTCCTGGCTTCGGATCAGCGCGGTGCGCCCACCGCAGCGGCCATTGGGGGGTGAACCAACAGAGGAAGGAAGACTTTTCTCTCTGT